AACCCAAACCATCCTTTGATAACAGACGACTTTGCCACCACTTCCACCCTTGAAACCTTTTAAACTCAAACCATGACTTCCTAAGAAGTGGCTACCCAAGGGTAGGTGCCAGCTGGATAAGTGGCAGTGAAGCTGGTAAAATGGGTTAATGTTTTCATCTCCCTTTTACCAACCCACCCCTGCAGTAACTACAGGTAACTCTGATCCACCCCTGTCCCCCATGGGGAATCGGGCTGCCTTCAGCAAGTGCCCATTTTTGAACATTTTGCATAAGCAGCTAAAGCTGTTGTACAGCTTTGAATGAACAACTGCAGGATCGTTCCTTAATTAGAACACAGGCTAGTTCCCAGTTTCAGCAGCTTCACCTCCCCAGCCTGCACGGCCAATGGGTATTCAAGAAGTTTGGCACCACTTGGAGGCAAAAAAACCCCACAGAGAATATGACTTTGCAAAAAGAAACCAAGAGAAATGTCCACAGAAACAAAAGGCATTGACGTAACCTACAGGCAGTTCCTTGGCCTTAGTAAATCAAGTGCATCCAGATCCAAAACGGGAAAGAAACTCAGCCCAATACACATAACCTACCTGAACAGTTCTTTGTTGTCATCAAGGAGCTTGACTTGGAAGCAGCAGGATTTGATACAACAGCAGATCCCTTGACCTTGGACATTATCTTTGAGAGCAGGGATTTGGCAGGTGGCCCTTCCCTGATGGGCTGGTACAAGGGTGTGGACTGCCCCTCTGGAGCTGAAACATCCACCATGTCCTCCCAGCCCTCATCGAAATCATCAATATCAAAGGGGTCCAGGTCAAAGTCAGCACCATTTCTACCTGAAGGGTTTTCTGCAGGAATGCCAATGGGAGCCTTGCTCTGCCCTTTCGGAGCTGTGCTTGCAAGAGGCCTCTGCAGCAGAGGGTGGATCTCGCTGTTCCTCGCCCTGCTGAGGGTCACCTCAGGATGGAGGCTGAGGGAAGCTCCCTCTGCACCATTCACCTTGGAGGAAGACAGCACCATGGTGCCCGGGGAGGTGATCTCCTCAATGCTCTGCTTTGAAGCACAAGAGGTACCCCAGGTCTGATTTTTGGAGGTAGAAAACTTGCTTGAATGAGCAGAACCCAGCAGCAGGGAAGGGGAGGTTGTGGCTCTGGGAGAGTTCCTGTCAGAACTGAAGCTCCAGCTGGGGCCAGGACATGGTGCAGCACCAGGGCCCTGCTCCACAGGCGCCTGCCAGGCTCTGGGAAAGCTGCTGTTGAAGCTACTTCTGTTCAAAGCAACACAACCAGCGAGCAGTTTTCTCCTGGGAGAGATGTCAAGGGAAGGAAGAAGAGAGAAAAGCAGATATTTAGTCACAAGCAATGACTTACCAAGTTCTACAATGTACATTAAACAGTTTTGTCTCTCTCCTATTCAAAATATTACCATATGATGGTTGCTTTGGATTCTGTGTCTCTGTATTTTACAAACGCTTCAAGCAAATCCAGAGAAGAGAAAATTACCCCAGAGCTGAGGTGAGCAAACTAAATACCAGATTACTACATCTCCTCTGCAGGTGTAAAAGGAAAGAAATCCCCAAAGGAATGGGGCTGACCAGGCAGGATGGAGCACTGAAAATCACAACCATTTGAGGCACAAACCCAAAGTTAATAAAGCAAAAATATGCTTGAACCAGACTGTGGGTTTCTGTACTTTCTAACAACTGTGTCTGGCTGTGGTAATAGGGGGAAATAGAATAAATTAGTTCTACTGAGAATGCTCAGAAAAAGCACATAGTTGCAGTCCAGTAAAAACCACAATGTCTGTATTTTATCTGTGTGTTGTGCCGTCAGATACTGCAGGAGTTAAAGCAGCAGATGCAGTATCAATAACCAGGTTGAAAGGTGACAAGCACATGTAGCCAGTGACAGCGAGTCTCAGAGAGAGAATATTATGTATCTGGTTATGAGAGCACCAAGCAGGTTCCATCATCTCACTCTGGAAGCAGTGGTGCAGGTCACCTCCAGAGAAGGGGTACAGCACACCCCCTGCTCAGGCTGGACATGGAAGCAGCTCCTCTCTTCCAGCAGAACATGGGCACTGACAACACTTCCAGCAGGTTGGGGTGTGTTTCTCCCTTCATTCGCTCAGTGATTTTAAGCCTTTCAGAACTCCTCCTGCCCTATGGTCGGTGCGCTGGGGACACCTGCAGGCAGGCACCGCTCAGCACCCAGCAGCCCAAGCTCACTGGAGCCTACCTGAGGTCTCGCTGCTGGAGAAGGTCTTTAGCACACGACAGAGACTTGAGCTCATGCAGTGGAATGGTCTCTACCAGCTTACAGATCTCCTCCATGACACCGTAGAGCTGCTGTTCCAGAGGCAAGCCTTTATCTGCTGGATGGAGGGATTTCAGCAGACAGTAATCCTCCAGTACATAATAAGGTGATGCACTCTCCCAAAAGACAGTAAATTGCAATAAATGAGTCTAAGCAATTCCAAATACTTTTAGAGTCCATCTGCATACAGGAACTGTTGCTGTGTGCATGAACCCACCTCACCCACACATCTTTGCCTTTGCATTATCCATCTATATTTGTTTTCCAACCTTGCCACAGTTCTTTCACCCTTACTTCCAGAAGAAATGACACAGCACAGAGAGGAGCACAGTCAGTTACAAACCACCCCAAAATCTGGGACACAGAATTCCAGAGGTTTCACGTACCTGCACCCTCCACCCCAGGATCCCTCCCAGCAACAGGCTGTGCTGTGGCAGCAGTCCCAGGCTTGGCTGCAACGCTGCTCGCTGTGGATCTTCCATCAGTGGGAGCCTCTTTGCAAACACTAGTAAGATCAGAAGAAGTCACTAAAACACAGATATGTTATCAAGGCATTGCCATGAGAGAAGTTGACCTTTCAGAATAACAGCACTGAAGATGTGTGAAAAGACCAAGACCTTTCTGAAGCCCCAGTTAATCGCTAGTTAAAACCCAAGCACCTGAGCAGTGTCACCCATCTGTGTGCCTGGGTGAGGACTCGCTTCAATAACAGCTTTCCCCTCCCACTACAAAAGGAAAAACAACTCTGCTTTTCCTGAAACAAATCCCCCTTAAACATCGGCTGTAGAGAGAAGTATTTCACAGGCCATTCACAGACACTGTGGGAACAGACACAACCAGCTCACGGTGACTCTTCCACAAGCACTACGGGTTCATGCCTTTTTTGGTGCTTTTAAAACCACCCCACAGACAGCTTTACCCATGAGCTCTGTTTCACCTGAAGCTCTTCACAGAAGGGGAGAAGCTCGGCAGCTCTTCCTCAGGGGAGGGGGGAATCACGTCCAGGTCATCGTCCTCCTCGAGCTCAGCACCTGTGAGCGCCATGAGCTCGGCCTCATCCAGTTCAGAGGGGCTGTTCTCATCGTGGCTTGGCTTCTGGCTGCCTTCACTTGTACCAGCAGGAGCTGAAAGTGCAGTAATACTGCTGGGTAAGAGAGTACACTCGTTCTGGTATGAACAAAAATGCAGCTGAACAGAGACAGAATAACAGCCAGGTATAAGGCAATTTTACATCTCTTGCATTAATTTTAAAAGTGCTTTTCTTTCTGTAAGGAGTCTGATCTAGAAATGGTCACTGTTCACTTCTGGAACTCCATATGGGAGATCTTGAAAAGCCAGCCCTGCCACGGGCCCGGCTGCAGAGCGCACACACTGCAGCCCTCAGCACAGCCTGCGCTCACCCAAGGGCCGCTCTGGGACACGAGCCTGCAGCTCCCCGCTGAGGGACCAAGCCCCTGCCTGCCTACACGCACGCGTTTTCCCTTGGGGGTGCATGCAAAGGGAGCCTTACCTGGGGGAGCCTCCTGCCCGCCCTCATCCAGACCAAACTCCTCAGCCGCATACTCCCACAGGCTCTGGCTGCCGCACGGCCCCGCATCCTCCACGCAGATGAGCGACTGCTGGGACGAGGGCTTCGGAGAGGCCCGAGGCCTCGCGTCCTCTGCCGGGCCGGGGACTCTTCCCGGGGGGGCCTGGCCTGACCCCCGCTGCCCGCTGCGGGACAGCAGCGGCCCCGGGCAGTGCCTCTTCTCGATCGCAGACAAATCGAAGTCGTCGATGTCATCCCACTCGTCCTCGATGGTGATGACGGGGCCGCCCTTGGGCACGCTCCGCACCGCGGCGACTCTCGACAAGGCCCGCGGCCCGGCCCCGGCCCCGGCCGGCTCCCGGTCCCGGCCATGGGCCACCGGGAAGACACCCGGGACGGGGGCGCTGCTGCCGGCCGGCGCCAGCGTGGGCAGGGAGGTGTTCACGTCCTTGTCCCGGAGCGCGGCGGGGACGCGGCCGCCCCCCGGGGAGGTCTTCTTGAAGGTGAAGCCCCTGTGGAGAGAGGAGCGCGGTGAGCGCGGCGCGGCCCCGCCCGGCCCCGCCGAACCCCGCGGTACCCACGCGGGCCGGTGCCGCGGCGGGGGCGCGCTGAGGGCGCCGCGGGCCGAGTGGCGCTGCAGCTGCTCCCGGAGGTTGTTCTGCGGCGGGGCCGCCATGGCGGGCGCGGGGCCACCCTGCCGCTGGGGGCCGCCCGTGCGCCGCGGGGCAGCCCCCTCAGCGTTCGCACTCCGCGCCAAAACACAGCCCGCACGCCGCCATTGGGTAGGCGCGCCGGAGCGGAAGTGACGTACAGCGCTTCCGCTCCGCCCCGCCCCGCCCCTCGTCACGCACTGACCCCGGCGCGTTGAAGCCGTTTGTAAGCGACGTGCGTGACCCGGGGCGTTGAACGCTCCCGCACCCCCATCGCTCGCAGGAGCCGTGTCAGGAGGCGCCGCGGCCGGTCCCTGCCCCCGCATCCTCGGAGGCCGCAGGGAGCCCCCGCACCGGCGGCGGGGCAGCTTCAGCCAGCGGCAGGGTTAGCGTGAGGTAACACAGCAGCAGTGCCGCTGCTGACACGGGGGCTCCTTCCCCAGCGCCTATAAAGCAGTAGCAATAAGCTGCTTGCTGCTTTCCCCGATTCAGAAAAGAAAATCATGCGTGTGTTAGCATTAAAATACCCGGCTTTTAATTAAAAAAATACTAGAAAGATTTACTGAAAGAGATAAAATGTACAAATCACAGCTCTGCTCTCTCTGGAGAAAGGAGAAATCACCTTCAAATTAAAAGATATCCACAGGTTCCATCTGGTGCTGGGGAAGTGGCACCGGCAGGGAAGGGGAGCGCTGCTGGGCTCTGGTTAATGGTACACGGGGTAACAAGAAAGCATTCCCACTGTCGCAGAGCCCCCGGTGCCACCAGCACAGCGCAGCCAGGGGGAGAGGCTGCTGTGGAGCTCAGGAGCAGCTCGAGTTTGGCTGGGGAGGGGAGGCTCCCGCTGCTGGGAGCTGTGTGCAAGCCGAGGAGGGTGCCTGTGGTAACAACAGGCGCTTCATTGTGCTCTCAGGATCCTGACTGCAGTGCTCAAAGTCAGAGCCAAGCACTCATTCCTTTTCCTGTGCCCTCTTCGCCAGCCTGGCTCTCCTCTTACACCTGAGGGACTGGGTAAGATGCACAAGCAGCGAGGCCACACATGTTCTTGCCACGTTCAATAAGGAAGTACCTAAAAAGAGAAAGAAACGTTTGTGAGTGTTCCCTCCTCTGGCACAGTCAGTAAACAGACAGCGTAATGCAACTGCTCTCAGTGTGCAAGCTCCTTTCTCATGCCAGCACAAGCAGCATTGAGATACCTGTGACAGAGCTGTTCCTATTGGTAATTAACCAGGTGTTGCTATCCCACAAACCAGCAGAGTTAGCACCTGACTAACACATTTCACTTCCAGCTGGGAACACCTGTGAAGCTGAGTAGACACTGGCTCCCAGCACAACCTGTTTGTAAGCACAGAAGGGTCATGGTGCTTGGCTGGCACCAGGCAAACCAGTGGCACTACAGCTTTGGTACATCCAAACCTCTGGGGACAGCAGTGGGTACATCAACCTGAGGGTCTGCTCCAACCAGCCCCCCTAGGACTGATTATAGAGCTCTATCCCCTTTGCTCCTGAGGCTGGGATGATTCTCCTGGTCCTCCCAGAGAACAAGCTGTGAAATTCAAGCTCGAGAGCCTAAGGGGCAACCTCGGGCTGATGCAGGCAGGTGAAATCTCACACTCCGGTCCTTTCATCAGGTACAGGCTGCAGTGGGAGCTCCTTACCCCTCCATGCCCCACAGCGGGCCCCAGGAGTTCTTCACAATCCAGTAAGGGGTCCCGTTCTCTTCTCCGTACCCCACGGCGAGGACGGCGTGGTTCACCTTGTCCGGGGTGTGCTCACACCGTGGGCTGCAGGGAACGGGACAGGAACGGTCACCTCATGTCTCAGGCTCACTTGCACCTCTGCTCTTTTACCAGAGATCTGCTGCAGCACCTGGGCTGAGCCTGCATCAGCCACAGCTCAGATACACAGACACTGCCCCAGCCCTGTGGCAGGCCCCAGCTCTCTGCCTTCCTGACCTTCAGTGCAAACACAGCCTGGCCTTCAGGCTGGACTGGTTCCTAGCAGTAACCTGGCTGCAGGCACTATTCCCCCATCCCCCAGAAAAGCAGTATAACAGGGCTCAGTTTACTTCTGCTCTGTTTCCTTTTAAACAGCTCAGTGTCCCTGCAGCCGGTGCTGGGGTGTGAAGGGATTCCAGGCCTACACCCTCCCCTCACCTCCCAGGTGCAGAAACACTCACTTGGAGTAGACTCCTTTCCTGTAGTGCATGAAGTTACTTGTCACCTCAAAGGCAAAGCTCACTGGGTTGTGCTTCCCCACAGCTTCCACCATGCCATCCTCGTCATACTGAGGGAAGAGGATCCCAGAGTTACTGATCTATCTCCCAGTCACACTGGGACCAGCCAGGACCCCCAGACCAGGGGTCAGAGCCCAGCAGCGAAGGCTGACCCTGGCCTTCTGCTTGCATTGAGAGACAAGAACCAAGACTTTCTTAGAGCCTGCAGGCACACTGCTGTGGAAAGTGGGTAGGCCATTGCCTGGATTTTGGCTCCACCACTTGGTCAGTGCCACCCTCAGAAAAGGGAGCTGGGGAGGAGCAGTGTGCACGCCAGCAGCACACTCCTCTCCCGGGAGCACACAGCATGCAGCTCACACTGCAGGGCCCAGCATGTCCCATGGCATCCAAGCACCTTTCAGGTCAGGCCTGGCACAGCCCTGCAGGTTTGGAAACCAGCCCTCAGGGCCTTACCTGTGTGATATTGATGACATCCTTGACAAATGCAATGGCTTTCTCTGGCTGGAACTTGCAGGTGCCATTCTGTGCAGACAGAAAGGAACAGGAGTCAGAGCCAGCTCTGAAGCAGCAGGAATGTGTCTGAGCTACAGTAGGAATACCTCAGCCCGGTACGGGTATGCGTCCTCCCCCATGAGCCCCTTGTTGTACAGAATGTACTCGAAGGCTTGGCTTGGCAGGCCCCTACAAGACAGCACAGTCAGAACACAGGTTAACAAAAAGCAGAGCCATCCATATCCACCCACAGTGCCACAGACCAGGGGGAAAGGGAGGGACCCCATCCCAGCAAGTGGCTCCCTACCCCAGCCACCTTTGGGAGTGCATCCCAGGGGGAAGAAAAGGAGTGTGATCAGGATGTGCTAACAGAGAAAGGACTAAGCAGGAGTCATAAGAAAACTAAAAAGCAGGGAGTGGCTGTGCTCAGCTCTGAGCGTTCCTCAGGGAGCACTCATTGTACAGAAAACAGACAGCTGTGTTTTCTGCCTCCTCTAGCAATCCAGGAGGAGGTCACCAGAGGGGAAGCAGAGGTTTCTGTGAGTTCCTTAAAGCACCATGGGATGTGTGTGACCCACGAGGAGCAGCACACCAACCCCGAGCACACTGAAGCCTGGCTACGGAGCACCCACGACTGTGGAATCAGAAACCACTGCAACCAAACAAGTATCCAAAGAAAAACTAACAGACAAGGAACAACAGAGGCTGGGAAATGCTGGAGCTTCAGTGACACTTTCCAGCCTCTAGAGAGGGTGAAATTAAAACGAGCAAAGCAAACACAGACACATCTCAGCCAAGGGAAAACAAAGACCTCACTCCAAGACTTAGACACTAGGCCTTGAGGAAGGCTGTCAATCGTGGAAAATGACATACTCTCATTTCTATGCTTTATTACTTCATATTACCTACCCGCTGCAGCCATGGTTGTTGAAAGCCTGGGCACAATCAACTAGCTGCTGTTCTGCCTACAGGAAAGGTTTTGGGTCAGTACATATCCAACCCCTGCAGCCAGAATACATAAGATAAAATGCAGGCGATCAAAGAGCACGGGTTTTACCAACAGAATGACTCCATATCCCGAAGAGGGGACAAGGAAGGCATGGAGCCAGCAGCTTGGGATGCTCCTGCTGCAGGAGGCATTCCCCCTCAGGCCTGCCGGGTCACTGGGCCACTGTCCCACCCAGGGGAGAGCAGGCTGAGATCTCTTCCAAAGGTCAAGTTTGTTTTTAACACTTAGAGCCAACCCTCGGCTATTCAGTAAGTCTCAGCAGTGACTGCTGCCTTTCCAGTTCCTCGGGAATATAAATCCTCTAGGAGTTTAGAAGTAAACAGTCTCACAATGTGCCTCTTGCAGCAGGGAGCTCCTGCCTGCCTGCAATGTCCTCCTCCAGAAAGGGCTCTGCCCAAGCTCGGGGCAGTGGGACACACAGACACCGAGAAGGGAGGATGGCAACAGGCACATCCTTGGGCACAGAAAGCACCCTGCCACACTGCCCTGCAGTTTAGCTCAGCATGTGGAGCACTGTAATGGGCCTGCAGGGCTGGGTGTCCAGCTCAGAACAAGGAGCCAGTGGTTGTCCCAGCCCATCCTGGCAGATAACTGGAGGCAGGACTTGTTGTCAGGGCACAGGAAAGAAAAACCTCTTACCAGAGAGAGGAGCTTTCCTGTTGCAATAGCAATAGCAGACTCCAAACAGCCCGTGGTGGAAAATGTCCAGCAGCTCCCACAGGGGCCCTGCATTGGAAACCAGAAAGAGAATGCTCCATAAGATGTCCCAGGGTCACCAGCCTCCCCAAAACACTGTGGGGGAAAGACACACCAGGGCTTTGCCTTCTGCTCAGCCCTACCCCAGCCACAAAGGGGCTCTGGGGAGCCCTCTGCCCCACAGACACACACCCCATCCCTGCAGCGTGCCCTGCCGCAGCCCTTAGCCCTTGTGGTCCGCAGTCAGTGCATCGCCCATGGCACACGCTCCTCACCTGGTTCTTCACGGGTGTCACAAAATTTCCCTTCTTCCTCCAGTCGATGGAGTCCGGAGCGGGCCCGGAGCTGCGCAGGAAGCTGCCCTTGGTGGCTGAGCAGTTCTGCAAGCGAGGCAGGAGGCTGCGCTGACTGCTGGAGCCAGCCGCGACTGCCGCGCTGCATCCACAGCCCCAGCCCACTGCGCACCAGCCGCTACAGCCGGGGAAACCCGGGCCAGCCCTGCAGGAGCAGCGCCGGCCTGCACCCAGCAGCGGTGCCAGAGCTGCTCCGGGAGCAGTAACTCCCCAAACAGCCGGGATCAGGGCTTAGGTCTGCCCATAGGAACACAGCTCAGCGCCGAAAACTGAAAGCAGAAGTGAGAGCGCGCAGTGAGAGCAGACGGGAAGGGACGGGGCTCACCTCGCTCTCCCCCGGCAGAACAGGGCACGGACTTGGCAAAGCGGATGTCGGGCATGGCAGTAACGGGTGCAGCCCTGCGCAGAGCCCCCCGCAGGCCGGGTCCGCCTCCCGCCCCGCAGCGCACTGCTCGCTTACCTGCGGCTCTCTCCACAGGAAGAGCTTCTTGAACTCCGCGAAGCTCAGGTCCGAGAACTGGTTCAGGCCCACTGCAAGAGGGGGGACACGGGAGGGCTCGGCTCGCGGAGGCCCAGCCCTGAAGGCGAGCGCGGGCCGGGGCTGGGGGCGCGGTTCCTACTCTGGTAGCTGTGGTTGCCGGCGTTGTGCTCCTCGATCTGCCGCTTGTTGCCCAGGAAGGTGCGCAGCCGGCGCGGGTACTCGCCGGGGTCGTACCGCCGGTTGTGCTGCGGGCAGAGCGCGTCAGCCGCGCCCCGACATCACCAGGGCTCCCCCGCGCTCCGAGCCCCGGCCCCGAACCCGCGGCCCCGGCACCCCCAGGGCTTTACCTGCAGCATCCAGGCCTTGAAGTGCAGCTCGTCTGCGGGAGAGAGCGGGGAGGCGTCAGCGGCTTCCCCGGCTCGGAGAGCGCCCGGGCCAAGGCCAGACCGAGCCGAGCCGAGCCGAGCCGGGCCGGGCCGGGCCGAGCCGAGCCACCCTTCCCCTTCCCTCCCCTTCCCTCCCGGTGCCCTTCTACCTTCGGCGGAGGGCGCCCAGGCGGCGGCGGGCGCCAGGAGCGCGGCCACAGGCAGCAGCAGCACGGCCCAGCTCATGGCCGACCCCAGCCGCACCGAACCGAACCCAGCCGAAGCACCCGAACCGCACCGAGCCGAGCGGAGCCGAAATAGCCCGAGCGCTGCCGAAGGGGCGGGCAGTGGGCGGAGCTACCCCGCGGCGGGCGGGGCGTGCGTGCGGGATGAAGAACGCGAGCAGGCGCGGTTCACCCTGAGATAGAATAGATTTATTAGCAAGAGGTAATCAGGAAACATATATTTTTACAAAAAAATGGAAATATCTTTTTTTTTTCCTTTTTTATCTTTTCCAAACAAGCTGTAAGTTGAAATAGTTTTAGGGCTTGAAAGAGAATTCTCATACCACGAGGTATTGCTTACAGCAAAAGTGTTGTGGTTGTCGGAGTGGAGCATGCCTGCCACTGTAGAGTTAAACTGTGTTTATATACTGTACAATGTAAAAAATACATGGTAATATTCACAGAATAAGCACTACATTACTATATTCCTGCTAGAAGGTGGTTAGACAGGATTACAGTATATGTAATAAAAACACTCGGTCATCGTTTTCTAATTCTACATCATGTTACTCAGAGTGGTCACAAGGTTTACGGATCTACAGCATATCCACAGAAGCTTGTCGTGAGCCGTATGCAGCGAGGAGAGCCAAAGGGACGGTTCCATCTTCCCAACGCAGCAGGGAGCGGGGCAGGGGCCGAGGGTACCGGGGGGGAAGAACTTCATCGTGGTCTCTTCCCCCACCACACAGAGCTTGCCCTGGGGCATCACCACTGATGCTGCCCCAGCAAGAGCTGCTCCATGCCACCGGGAGCCCCGTGGGGCCCCTGCCCCACCGCCAGCCCCCTTGAGAAGAGCCAATGACAAGAAGAACATCATCATCATCATCATGGAAAGAGCCCGGGACTCCAGCCACGTGTCGGTGCGTGAAACCTCAGAATGATGCGGGAAACCCTATGCGGGGTCTAAGAGCGGCCTAAGAACGGGGGGAAGGGGGGAGGGGGTTTGCTCGGAGAAGCACAGACGTGAAGTCACTCCAGGGCGTCCAACAGAAACAAACAGGTATTTACAGGGTGGGACAGCGTGTGCAGAGCGGCCGCCCGCCTCCGCTCCGCGCTCACGAAGGCAGCTTGGGCTCTATTCGCAGGGAAGCTTCGTAAAGGGTTTCTTCATCCATCACAAAGGAGTGATCCAGCAGGTACTGCGTCACCTGCGGGAGGACAGACCATTGCTGGGCAGGACTCACCACTGCTGTGCCCAACCACAACGGGTGAAGGCAGGGCATGGGAACAGCCTGAGCAGTAAATGAGTGGCAGGGAAGAGCCGGCAGCTCCTGCCCACCAGCACGGGCACTGCACGTGCTTATCTGATGGAGATCCCAGCCTCCGCCAGCCCAGCTGGGAGCTGTGGTCCAGGGCACTCGGGGTGCTCCAGCCACCACACATGGGAGGTGGCATCACCAGAGGCCTGGCCTGGGCGCCAGCACCCAACAGCCCGCACAGGGCAGGTCCGGCAGTGCTGACTCAGGAGGTTTTGCTGTACCTGCAGAGCTGGATGCAGCAGAACCTCCCCAGCAGCCAGAGGGTGACTGCGGTGCTGCGGCACAGGGAGTGCGAGCCTGGTGACACCTTTCACCTCATCACATGGGTGGGGACACCTTTCACCTCATCACATGTGGTGACACCTTTCACCTCATCACATGGGTGGGGACACCTTTCATCTCATCTCATCTCATCTCATCTCATCTCATCTCATCTCATCTCATCTCATCTCATCTCATCTCATCTCATATCTCATGTGTGGGGCCACCACGAGGCAGAGGCCACCCAGCCCCAGGGTGCAGGGTGTATCACATGCTCTGCTCCCAGCAGGGAAGGCACTCCATGTCTCCTGTGCCTGTCCTCCTCTGTTACACCTTGCCTGACACAGCCCCTACACTGGCACAAGCCCCTACACTGGCACAAGCCCCTACAATGGCACAAGCCCCCACACTGGCACAAGCCCCTACACCTACACTGGTTCTGACTTAAAGTTCCTACAGAAGCATCACATCTTCCCCAAGGGAGCTGCCAGAGTTGAAGGCGTAGGTGCTGTGATTTAAGAGGGAGACGAGGAGCAGAGAGACCGTGTGGATCTCAGGACAAGGCCAAGGCCGTACCTTAGGTTGGTGCTCGATCTTGTAGGAGGTTTGCTGGAACTGGCGGATCTCCCTTATGATGTGTGAAATCTGCCCAGAGATAGAAGACAGGAGCTGTAACAGCACAGCAGGCACCACCAGCACTGTGTCCAGTGCATGGGCAGCCAGTGGGGCTCGCTCCATCCCTCCAGTGCAGCACAACCCAAAGGGCCCTTGTTTCACCCAGACCCGCTCCTCACCAGAGTGAACCTGGCTCTGTGCAGGGGACATGGGTGGCCCTGAGCTGTGTGGCTGATGGGGGCTTTGGGGACTGCACAGACCCAGCCAGGACCCCAGCGCTGAGGCACAAAGCTCCAAGCCGGCGGGGCTGGGCCACTCACCATCCTCATCTTGGAGAAGTTCACCAGCCCGTCCTCGGTGTAGTTGGGGGTGCCCTCCTCGATGAAGGCCAGGTCCGTCAGGTACATCCCCAGGTAGGGCACACACGGAGGGTCACAACTTCGGGAGCAAACCAGAAGCGAATGAGAATGAAACCCACCTTACCCAGGGGCTCTGGAGCGTCCACCAGTGATGCACAGCCCGTGGGGATGCTCCCTGGGGAGATGGGGGTGTTCCCCAGTGCCTGGCGGTGATTTGCCTCTTCACGGTCCCTTTTGTTCACACCTACCCACACCGCTGCTCAAAGGAGCAGCCAGGATGGACAGGGCTCAGAGCCACCTGCTCTAGGGGAAGGTGTCCATGCCCATGGCATGGGGTTGGGACTGGAGGAGCTTCAGGACGTGGTTAGTGCAGGCTCTGCAGTAACTGTGAGCCCAGCCCCAGCCCGCAGCCCCCGCCGGAGCACCCTCCTCCACTCACTTTTTCAGTGCCTCCCTGAGGTTCTTGAACCTGCCCTCGGACGACACCAGCTTCTGCAGCTTATCAATCAGAGCCTTGGTCTGCAAGAGACCCGCGCGCCCCATGAGCCCTGGCCCCGCAGCCGGGGCACTGGGATCCCGGGGTCGCTCCCAGCCCACCCTGCCCAGGACATCGCCCCCCGAGCGGCCCCTTGGCACTGCCACAGGGACAGACTGCCCTGGCCGCTGCGCCCGGCCCCTGCTGGCATCCAGAGCAGCCGCTCCTCCGGCACCTAAGGACAGGCTCCGCACTCAGTTCCTCCCCTGCTCCCGGCTCTGCCTTCACCAGAGCCTGTGTTAACTGCAGCTTTACCCCTTCGTGGGTAAAGAGACCCGGGAGCCCACGGAGCAGCTCTGCTTGGCAGCCCCGGCCTCCTCAGGCTCTGCACCCTGCAGCTATGAGCTATTTCTGTACCAAGTAACACAAGAATTCGTTCTGCTCATCCATAATTGGCCTCAGGAGCCCAGAACACCAGTTTAAAGAACCATCTGTGCGTGTGATGGAGCTACAATGACTCTTTCCCAACAACATTCCAGGTGGACACACGAGGAACATTTTTCCCACTGAGAACAATCACCGTTGGAATAATCTCCCCATGGAAGAGGTGACTCCCCAGTTAAGGCTCAGCTGCACAGGGTACAGCTGGGTCATGCTGGGTTGGACCAGGGGGTCCCTGTGTCCTCCCTGTTTCATCAATGCCTGGGTCTGCACCAGTCCCCCCCACTCCCAGCCCACCGGAGCCTGCCCTGCTCCCCAGCGGGGCCATCCCCATGCCCTTACCTGCTTGGAGACCTTGAGCCAGGTCTTCTTGAGGCGGAAGATAGCGCTGCGGTTGAGCGAGGAGGTGATCTCCAGCACCGCGTTGTAGTTGTGCAGGCACCGGCAGATGTCCGCCACCGCCACCCACTTCTCGATGGCGCTCACCCGCGCGTTGATCTCCTCGTTCCGGATGATCTCCGACGCGATCAAGTTGCTGACCTATGGGAGACACCGGCCCCGGCCCCACTGTTAGGATGGGTTTGGTTGCACCCTGCAGCCTCGCAGCGTTCCCTTCACTGCAGGAGCCCCAGGAGATGCCCCCTGATCACCTTCTTCATTCAGGAGATGCTCAACCTGTAACAGGTCCCTGGGGCAGATCGCACCCACTGAGCACGGTTGGGGCAGATGCACCCCCCAGCCCCTGCCCTGTCTTTGCCCATGTCCCCACCCCCTCTGTGGCTGCACTCACATCATTGAAGTGTTTTGTGTTCTTCATGATGTACGGAGTCCTTTCGTTCTTCTCCAGCTTCATCCAGCCTTGCCCAAAGAACTCTCTGCAAATGACAATGTTCATTTCCCCTTTGGGGTGCCCAAGCCCTGCAAGTGCCACAGCACCCACATGGGATGTAGATACTAGGACCTGTGCCCCCCCCAATGCCAAGAAGGGATCACATGGATGCACTTGGAAGTGTGATGGATGCGGAAGGGTCTCCCCAAGCAGGTCAACCCAGGGACATCAAATCAGCCCCAGGGTCAGGCCCCGCAGCTGGGCTGAGCCCCGGCTGGGGTAAAGGCAAAGCAGGAAGGAAGGGATTGCACCCTGTGGGTTTAGCCTGGGCAGGCTGCAGGGAGCTGCGGAACAGCCCTTCCCCAGCACGGGGACCACTCACTCGTAGGGGATCTTCTTGAAGACCAGGTGATCCAGCAGCGTCAACTGCTCGGCGATTTCCAGGGCCGAGTGGTTCTCAAAGGGCTCTGCTCTGACTCCCTCAGCCTGAGCGAGAGGGAACAGGAGGGTTCAGAGCATGCTGAGACCTCCTGTGTCGTGCACACAAACCAAACCCTGCTGCCCCCCCTGCTATGGGCTGCAGCCCCTCTGCAGAGCGGGGCCCCCCACGGGTGACCCAGCCCCGGGGACCCTCCCGGTTGCCAAACCCCCCCGGGAAGGGGGTGTGAAAGTGGCTCTGGTGAGCAAACAGCAGCAAACACTGGCGGAGCTCCCTTGGGGGGCTGTGGGCGCCCAGCAGGACACGGGTGGGGGGCACACCTGGAAGGACACAGGGTGCTGGATGGGCAAAGGGCACCGGT